AACATAAGGTAGTTTTCTTAAGAAGATTTTTTTTTTGGGTAAACAACAAAAAAACCCTTGTGGTATAGCTATCTTACAGAAAACCCCCTATGATTTCGAATCATATGTGTTGGTATCTCATGATTTGAAGTAATTTGAACATTGACGGAAATCGTTAAAAGAAACGATTTTGAGTGAAATGACAGAAATGCCCATATAATATAAGCGACAAAATAGCCTAAAACAACCGATTTTTGATTCATTAGTTTCATTCACTAATAATATAAACAAAAAACGTCGATTTCTACAAGATTAGAACAAATTTGAAAAAGAATCATGGTTGTTTTATTAAGGTACGAGGGATAAAATAGGTATTTTAGATCAAAATTTGCCTTCAAAAACTATTTTTTGGAAGAACCACGCCCATTTCCAGCGCGTTTACATCACACGCATTGAATTTAACAATTTCCTTTGATTTTTCACTTTACTTCAAACCATGAGGTACCGATGTGTATGAATTGAAATCATAGGGGATTATTCTATAAAATAGCTATACTATAGAGGACTTTTTTGTTGTTTACCCTTTTTTTTTTTAATTTGCTGCACTTAGGACAGCAGATGAGAACAAAAAAGATAAAAAAAAAAAAAGAAAAAGAAAAAGGTGACCAACTATTATAACCATTAATATTACAACTCACCCCTGAATTGCAACATTTTGCAAAAAAAAAAAAAAAAAAAAAAATTGTGTGTTTAAAGAATGGATGAACGCATTTCAGAATGGATAAGCCGGTGTTTCTTATGTCTAACGGCAAATTACCCCCAACCTTCCTAATTTCTCAATTGTCAAATTTCTCAACAGAACACTTCTCTTCCCTGTGAATGACATGATTAAGAATCTTCAGCTCTATGGGAGTCATATGCTCTGTATGTGTCGGCGTGTTTAGATTAAACAACAATTGTCATGCTTGTGAAGTACTCTGGTGTAATGCATCCTAAACAGAAGCTCTAGGGTTACCCTTTCTATATGAAAAACAAGAGGAGCAGAGAGTGTTTTTATGGCTTTAAATTAGAGACAATGCGTAAGGGAAGGATATTTCTCCAGGGCTTATCCTCATATCTTGAGTTCATGTTGCAGGTTCGTGGATGGAAATTAGTTGACAATTGATTGTTGACAAATAAAATGAACAATTTCCACAGTCGGTTAAATGTCAACTTACAATGCATGACTAGTTTTTTTTTTATCGAAAAAAATATAAGACACACACACCCAACTAATTAAATATAATTGAGGGTTAAAGCTAGGAGGATCTAAGAGGTAATCTAAGGGGACCTACAAAGCTTACCTATCCAACCAATTGATAACTGGAAGGCAAACCCGTGGACCTTAAGTCCAGGTCAAAGAACCCACATCCTAGCGATGTGGGACGGATGCCCATCCCCCAGCAGATCTCACCATGTGAACGGTTGTTTATGAATCTTTTTGCAGGGCATATTAGGTCTTTTAAAATCGATGTATGCCCTCGTTACTTTGGAATTTGGAAGATGACTCAGATTTCCACCTTTCAATAGAAAATGCTGGATTTGAGGGGAACTGAGACCACTTGCACCTTTCTTGGTCAGCTCCATTGGCGTTCCTGATGGTTTGTTGAGCCCGATTGCTTTCAATTGGATTGAAGCAAACTCTTGGTCCTATACTCAACACTAGCTTCTTGTAAGTGATAATATTTGCACGTACTGAAGAGAAATTGGAACATCTCTATTTTGTAGTACCCACCAATATGTTAGAATTTAGAGCTTAAACTACTAAAACAATATTTAGAACTGCAAAAAAAAAAAAAAAAAAAATAGTTTACTAAGACTTGTATTGAGAGTTGAAAAACGATTTTAGATTTCTCATTAAATATGTCTCTATTAATCGAAAGTGTAAGTAATAAGTCTACACAAATTTTTCGTGACAAACCTCAACACACTATCCAAATCTCTCCTAACAAATCTCAACATAATATTTAGAACAAAAAACAAACTTGAACTAGTCAAAAACAACAAGTGTGGAACAACTCTAAGAACTTGACTTAGTCAATTACTAATTTATTTTAATTTTGTGCTAAAATATCTGTAGAACAGTCACATATCTCAATACAATAAATTCAGTCATTAAATAAACTTCACTTGGATTAAATGAATGAAGTCCTTGTAATCTCATTATTTGAAATATGCATCGTGTATTGTGTATATTATATTTGCAATATTCAGTTGATTGTGTCGTTTAACACCCTTTGTCTGTGCAAGGGCAAAACTTTTCTTTAGTTTTTCACACCCTTTGTGTGGGAATCTCACTCGTACTATTCTAATTATTGTTGTCCTAGCTTTAACATGTGAAGACCCTACCAAAAGCCAAGGAAAAAAAAAACGACAAACAAAAAAATGTACGGCTAGAATATAATTAATAATTCTTTCAGTGAATACTAGGAAATTTCGTTTTGGAAAAAATGAAAGATAAGTAATGGATTCGGTGCTTTGTAACTTTTACCTGTTGAATGTTGACCATCTCTGGCTGCAAAAAGTAGTCCAACTATTCAACCAAAGCATTTTACCTCCATCTGTTAAGAGTTTCCCTGAAGATGGCTGAAGCTGTACTCAGTTTTGTTAGTGTAATCTTGAATAAGATACTTCCGCTTACTGCCGACGAGATCAGCCGGGTATGGGGTGTAAAGAAAGACCTTCAGAAGCTTGCCAAGAAAGTAGAGATGGTGGAAGCTTTGATTTTTGATGCTAAATGCAAGAAATCAACAAGCAAAGCCGTGCAGCTTTGGCTGAAAAGGCTCCAGTCCGTAGCACGTGATGCTGAGATCGTGTTGGATGACTTCGGATATGAAGTTTTGCAGCAGAAGGTTGAGAATCGGAAGCGCGACAAGGTACGCAACTTCTTTTCTTCCTCAAATCCTATTTCCTTTCATCTAGAGATGGCTAACAAGATCAAGAATGTTAGCGCATCTCTAGAGGAAGCTTACAGAGAAGCAAATCAGATAGGGCTTCATCCAGTTCAGCTAACCATGACATCTGCTGATCACAAAGAGGATCGGTCGACTGATCCTTTTATGGATGAGTCGGAAATGATGGGAAGGGAAGTTGAGAAATCTCATGTTGTAAGGATGTTAATTAGCTCAGACTATAAGAAGGATTTACCTGTCATGTCAATAGTTGGTTTGGGTGGCCAGGGAAAAACAACCCTTGCACAGCTGGTGCTAAAAAATGGGAGTGTAGTGAAGCATTTTGATGAAACAATATGGATTTGTGTGTCTGATGATTTCAAAGTGGAAAGGCTGTTGAATGAGATGCTTCAATCCCTCGGGAAAAAGAACGCTGAGACGACAAACAGGGAAGCATTGGTGAGGAGGCTTCAAGAAAATTTGCAAGGAAAAAGTTACTTGCTTGTGCTTGATGATGCTTGGAATGACAATCGAGAGAAATGGGATCGCATGAGGAAATGTTTGCTGGCAATAGGGGGTGCTCTAGGAAGCAAAATATTGGCTACCACACGTAGTGATGAGGTAGCCTCAGCAATGCAAACATCTGGTTTGTATCATCTAGAGATCCTCTCAGATGATTATAGCTGGATGTTGTTTGAAAAACTAGCTTTTGCAGACGGTGGTGCAACCAAGACTCTAGATCTAGTGGACATTGGCAGAAGGATACTGAAAAAGTGTGGTGATGTGCCACTAGCGATCAAAGTGATTGGGGGTCTATTGTACTCTAAAAAGGATGCCTCAGAATGGTTGACGATTGAGAAAAGTGAAATATGGAATAAGTCAAGCAATGTTGCAGATGGAGTCTTTTCTGTCCTGAAGCTGAGTTATGAAAACTTACCTTCATTGTCAATGAAACAATGCTTTGCAAGTTGTTCCATTTTCCTGAAGGACACTGTTATGGAAAAAGAAAGCTTGATACAGATTTGGATGATCCAAGGATTGATTAATGATGCCAAGGGAGGAGGTCATTTGCAAATGGAGGATATAGGCAGTGACTATTTCAACATATTATTTCGGAGTTCTTTGTTGCAAGCCACTTTTGGGAATTCCATTAACAAAACCAAGTTCTGCCGGATGCACGACCTTGTGCATGGTCTTTCATTGCAAGTGTCAAATAACTGTTGCTTAAATACGGAGGATGGCATGGAAGTCAGTCATGATGATGAAGTTATGCATTTGACCATCATTCTGAGTCGAGGGAAGATGCTCAAGAATATCAAAGGGATTCCTCCAAATTGGCAGACGTTTTATCTTGTGGGTGATGGCATGCTCGAAGACATCTCCAAAATGTCTAGACACCTTTGTGTATTAAAAGTAGACTGCACGAATGGTACTCATCTCTCGAATGCAGTAGGTGATATGAAACATTTAAGACATCTTGATATCAGCAAAACTCGTGTCACTGCTCTGTCAGATTCCATCACAAAGCTCTACAATTTGATAACCTTGAAAGTATTTTGCGTGAAGGAGATACCTAAGAAGTTTAGCAATTTAATTAACTTGAGGCATTTCCAGTTTTTATTTCGTGCTGCTTTGGTCCAATCATGTTTGTTCCCTGGAACTGGGCAGTTGTCTAATCTTCAGACATTGCCCTACTTTGTGGTAAGCCAAGCCAAGGGATGTCAACTTGAGGAGTTGGAACACTTGAGCAACCTCTGAGGCGAGTTAGAAATATTTGGACTGGAGAATGTGAGCAGCTTTGAATCAGCAGCAAAAGCAAATTTGTCCAAAAAATAAGACTTTCATGGGATGACACGAAAGAACATTGTGACGACAACAATATCAATAGTGCCATGGAAGGTCTCCAACCTCACCCAAACTTGAAAAGTTTAGGTATTAGGGGTTTCAAAGGTTCAAGGTTTCCATTGTGGATGGTAGCAAAGGATCACTTGATGGTACTTCGGAATCTGGTACACCTCAGGTTGGAGATATTGGGTAAGTGTGAACAAGTACTACCACTGGGGGGACTTGTTTTGTCTCGAGTCCTTAGAGATGGTGTCCTTACACAATGTGAAACGCATTGGGGCTGAATTCTACGGTCTTGAACATCTCGATAGTGCCAGGAGCAGTAGTAGAGAGGCGAAACCAATCAATCTGTTTCCAAAACTATCGCGTTTTGTGTTGGAGGACATGGATAGTCTAGAGGAGTGGTCAAATGCAATGGTTCCCTCGAATTCTTCCTCATCAATTAAAGTATTCCCTAATCTCCAGTACTTGGCAATCGAAAGGCTCCCCAGTTTGGCTGTTTTACCAGATATGGAGAACTTGACATCTCTTGAGGAGTTAGAGATACGAAGATGCGGAATTGTGGCATGTATAAGGAATTTGAATAGCCTTACATCTCTTGAATCCTCATCCTTAGAAAAATGCCCTGCTTTAGATTAGAAGACTGCCCTGCTTTAGATGCTTCTCTAGATATGAAAAACCCCCAATCCCTACATACTCTAAACATCTCAAGATGTGATAAGTTGAATACTTCATTGAGTAATAATCTTGAGAAGTTCACATTGCTCGAGCGGTTGACGATCTTTTCTGACGACCCTGGTTGTTGGGCAAAGGGTCTACAATATCTTGCCAACCTCTGCGAGTTGGAACTCGGTGGCTTCTCTGACAACCTTGATTATTTCCCGTGGCCAGACTCCATCACCAAGAATGATGGTGATTCTGCAAAACAACATTTCTTCTCTCTGGAAAAACTTGAATTGTTTGGATGGCCAAAAATCACGTCTCTTCCAGACCAATTCAGCATCACTCTACCTTGACAGTTCTAGAGATACGGGAGTTTGAGGGGTTGGAAGTTCTTCCAAAGTGGATAGGTAGCCTTCAAAATCTTCGAGAAGTGTGCGTTGGCAATTGCACTAACCTCAAACAATTGCCCTCTGCAGAAGCAATACAACACCTCACCAGTTTAAATCTACTGTATATCGCCGACTGTCCTCTTTTAGCAGAGAGATGCACCAAAGGAAGTGGCGAAAAGTGGCCCAAGATTGCATGTATTCCCCTTATTGATACCGATTGAACAAAGTTTGACTCGTTTCACATTAGGGAAACAAACCGCCCTGTAAGTTAATTTTGCCAATGTTTTATCCTACTTATTCTGTTTTCTCAAGCTGCCTTATTGATACCAGATGTCTGCTGATTGTCTTATTCTGATTCTTGGACACGATTCAGAAAATTTAACATAGATTATAAGTATTAATAAACTTATTTTTTTAAAAATAAAACGATTCATTACATCATCTAAAAAACTTCAATGCACCAGGTTTTTAGTAGTGGACTATGAAAATTTACTTTTTTTTTTTTTTGGGTGAGCCCTGCCATCGAATTGGTAGAATAGACATGAGCATGTTTTTTAAAAGAAAAATTACAAATGATTAGGAATTGAATAAAAATTTTCTTTTCAAGTATCCCAAGTATAGGTATTTTCCCTGAGCCAAAGGAGGCTTTTCCAGTGTTGCAACTGCATTTGATCCTAAACAACTTATCTACTTGACCCTTTGTCATTCATTCTCGACTCTGGGGATTCTTTATTAGAAGCAGTTGCTCACAATTTCAAACAAGGTTGTAGCTAAATGCTTAGAAATACTTTTGTTCTCTGTTATGTAATCAACCTTATTGGCATTTTCGGGCCAACAAAATCTAACATCTCTGACCTGCTCCTTTATGAACAACGCATAATTGAGCTGCAGTCACTTAGCTTGATTTTGTTTTTGGCATTTAATAGCTTGCTAAGCTAATTCTTACACGTTCTACTATTTTCCCTTTCCTGATTCAGCAAATGACTGCCTATTTGTTGAGCTCATGTCTGTTATGCTGCAGGGACAACAACCTTTCCTCACCAAGACCGACCAAAGTATTTCCATGAGGACACCTGAGTTACAGCTTTACAGTGTTATATGCAACCAGACAACTCATTTTACGGTGTTAAGTGTCCTTGAGTGCCCTGTTGTGTTAGATTGAGAATCAGCATCCGTCCAGTTATGAATGACTGAGTGCCTGTGAATCGACGATGGTGCAGCAGAGCTTGCATGCGGTGAGCTGAGGCCAGATGGACATTTTGGGGGATTTTGATGAAACCTGTTCTAACTATGTTGAACAGCATGGTTATTACCTCTTGTAAAATTTCCAAGTCTTGCTTTCAGAACTAGCTATTACCAACTTTATTTATTCTGATTTTGCGAGGAACTTGATAAAGATTGTTGAACAAGTACATGGAGGACCTGTTGTGCACTTGTACTGGGACCAACAGTTATGCAAATGATGAAACTATACAACGGCATGTATATATGCAAACAATAGAATTATATTGAGATCCAATAAGGCTAGCGGATTGTGCATTTGAACAAGAATAATGCTTGAAACAGTTGTTAAGAGAAGATCTTTCATTTGTCAAAATGAACTACTCTGTGGTAATTTACAGACGCATGCCACAGCGCACACACAATGGGCTGAGGACTGCTTTGGATCCCTATTTCTAATTCAGAATGTCTAGTGTAATGATGCCAATGGGCTTCATGTGAGATTCCAAAAGTAGTCGTAAGAAATGAGAAGGTTCTTGATTCCGCTGTAAGGTTCTAATTAGTGTTCATGGATAAAAAAACGACACATTAATATTTAATCAAATGTATGAATGCTATTTAGTTTGGGTGCATGAGAAACTCTCTATCTCTTTGGACAGATTAGTTGCTCATTCAACTCGTGGTGGCTACATGCCGAGTAATAGGTTAATGTGCTTCCAAGGGGTCAGAATCCCATATCAGATTCTTGGTGCTTGGAAACTAAATGAGGTAATTGAGTAGTATATTTCATCCTTCAGACTAATTGGAAATGATGCATAAAGTTAGCAATGAGAAAAGCTTGCTTATGTATTCATAGCCTATGATGTTCAAAAGGTCAAAACGCTATGATTTTCACCCATTGATGAACAAATTTGGGCTGACTCCATTACTTACTTAAAGATTAATCTTTCCTATACTAACAGTGTATATACTGTCAACATTGAATGAATGACAATTATGCAAAATTTGAATTTGAAATTTAATTTTTGTACATATGTCATAGATCTAACGGTAATAGTGTATACACTGTCAGTGTATATAGGATTTAATCTTACTTAAATCTTCACCTGTTGATCATTTTAAGTTTCAAATACCTACTAATTGACATTGTCACCGATTGCTGCAGAGGAGATTGCACACATGCCCATGATTAAAATCAATGACATTATATTTATAACTCTGGACTTTCACTGCTTCCTGTAAGTTTAGATTTCCTCCAGTCTTCTGGGTATTTTTTTTGTTCAAAAAAACAAAGGAAAAAAAAAAAAAACTCTTCCACATAACTCTTTTCTATTTTCATATCCACCAACTCTGATTATCTCTCAAGCATAAAGAAATGCGGAAGTTTGGCTTATATGAGGAATTTGAAGAGCCTTGCATCTCTTCAACACTTTACCCTGACCCAGAGTAACTGCTCTAATTTAGATGCTTCCCTAGATATGGAAAACTCCCAATCTCTACGTTTTCTAGACATCTCAGGATGTGACAAGTTAAATTCTTCATTGAGTAGTATTGAAGATCTTTTATGGCCCTGAGTAACTGCTCTCATATAAGAGGATGGGAATCGCAATGGATCTTCTGTCCCATATTCTGTGTCACTCTCTGTGTTGCTTTTTATTATATTTCTATTTCTTTTACATAAATATCATTTTTTAATTCTTTTTTGTTATCTAAAGATCCAATAACTATTAATTGAATAATATACAAAATTATGAATTGGGACAGAAGATCCGTTGCAGATTGGAACTCAGTGGTTTCAACAAAACAACATCACTGCGTTATGTTTATCTGTCCCTCTGGTGGGGGGGGAAGCCTTGGCTGCCGAAGCAAAAATCCCACTTCGTGAATGCCGGCACTTCCATAAATGACAATATGGAGCAATATTGTCAAATTGCGTAGGCCCGTAGGGACAGCTACCTTTGTTAAATTATTCGTCAAAGAATTCAGCCGCCAGTGGTCATCTCAAACCTGGTGCGGAAGTTTAAGGGTTCAAATTTTACCTCTCACAAAATTTATTAAAATATGTGACGGTCTTTATTGATCAATTTCGATAGAAAAATTCTATCGTTTCAACAAAAAAAAAATTCAGCTGCCGACTTGTAATTATCACAAGTATTAATCTCAGCTAAGAAAAACTCTAGAATGAAGCATTCGGATTGAGTCAATAGGTAGTGAGGCGATCATAGAGGGAACCGGAGGAGTGGCAGGAGGAGCCACCGCCCTATTTCCCCACGGTTGGGCCAAGTAGCAATCGTACCTAGAGGTGGCAATATGGATAAATGGTTCATAATTGGTTTTGACTTACTGGATGGTGGATGAAATTTATCCAATCCATTTAGATCCATTTAATAAATGGATCTAAATGGATGGATCTAAATGGATTATATAAAAACCAATTATCCATTTATAATCCATTTATATATTTTGGTTACTTTTTTTTTTTTTTGTATTACCAAGTAACTATACCCATTCCTGATCCTACCAAGTAAGAATTTCATGAAAATACTAAAGTATTTCCATGTAACTGTCATCTTATATGATCCAAGACAAAGAGGACAATCAAATGAACAATATTGCTGGTTGAACGATGTAATGTACAGGACTTATGCAGCAAGAGCCATTGTCCTTGAAGATTTCCATGCAAGCTCTAGCTTGAACAGCATCCAATCTCTCAACATTCTCAAAGGTAGAACGTCTAGTGACATCATACACGAGTAAAGCACCAACAGCTCCTCTGTAGTAAGCACTGGTAATGGCATGGTACCTGCAGCGGGCAAAGGAAGCATATGAATGCAGAAGTTAAATGCTTTACAATTTATGTATGCAATTCCAACTACTTGTCATAATTCAGAAATGCATTACAGCTCAAGTACTTGATTTCAGCTGTAGTGCATATGAGCTAAATACTCCTTTAACTTCGGCATTAAAAAAAGTTCACAAAAATTAGATTTAAACACAAAAGTTTGCAAGAAATAAAGAACAAACAGAAAAAGTGATTAGAGGATGCTATAAAGAAATGCTAATATGATTAAAATTTCTTGGTAGAGATATGGTCTAAACAAAAGTGCAGAGAAAGTATGCATGCTAAAAAATTACACACAACATGGCCTAGGAAGCATATGATGCTGCCACTGAGAAGTTTGTAGTGCTATAGATCATAACCTTCCCAAAACACAGCTCCTCTTTTAGTCCAGCAAGGGCAGTGAATACTAGTCCCTAAGGAGTGAAAGAAGACACGAACAAAGGGCCCCATCAAGAAGCTGCAAAACTAGAAACCATACCAAATAAGCAACAGCTACGAGTCTACAATCCCATCCAATCATCCATGAAGGCACTCTAATAAAATACTTAATTGCTTCATAAATCAGTAACCATATTACCTTTGAGCAATCCAATAAGTCACATGACTAGATTTCCTCTTCGTAAACCTCCCTATTGGAGCCAAGAAGTTTTGTAACTAATGGAGCAAAATCTGTAATTAATGCAGCTTCTTCCTCGGCATTTTCTTGTGAAACTATATTAATATCATAAAACAGCAAATAAGTCATTTCTAAATAAAGAAAAATAATAATTTAACTACCGTAAATATTATGTGCAGTAAAAGAAATTTTTAACAAAATAAAGAATATATAAAATACTTACATTTTTCACCATATAACCAATCTTTAGTGCATATTAAAGCTTCTACATTCTCTGGCAAGATGGTACTACGATATTTGTTGATAATCCGACCGCCAACGCTGAAAGCGGACTCTGAAGCCACTGTAGTAATAGGAATACTCAAAATGTCTTGTGCCATCAATGAAATCACTGGATATCGATTTCTATTTTCTTTCCAAAATTGAAGAACATCCAAATCTTCTTTTGCTGGAAACCTATTCTCATTTAAATACAAATCCAACTGTGATGTATTCCTGTTCAAATTATAGTGTTCACTTTCATACATGGTAAACTCATCTATTTCATCAACAAGATTAGAAGAAACTCCCTCACTAAAAGATGCTACTTGTGATGAATCTGCCATAACTGAGGGATATAATTGCATATAATCATCAAACATCAAATGCAGTTTCTCACGAATCTCCCTCACACGTGTAGAAAAAGTTCTCGGGTATATCTTTGTCAAACAAAATTCTACCCATTGCAACTTAAAACGTGGATCCAATATCACGGCAAAACTCAAAACAAAACTGTAACACTCCCAATATTTGTTAAATTTATCATGCATTTTCATAGCCATTTGCACAAAATCATCATCTTGACTATGCATTTCTTCACAAATCAACTGCTGAATTTTCCAAACCCCATGAAAATATAAATTAGCAGTAGGATAATGAGATCCAGAAAACAATGTAGTGATATCATAAAACGGTTTTAAAAACAGAGATATGCGATGAACCTTTTTCCACTCTTCATCTGTTGGAAACCATTTATAATTTGGATCAACTAACTGCAATTCTTGAAATGTTCATCGATGCTCCAAAGCAGATTCACACATAAGATATGTTGAATTCCATCTTATTGAAATATCTTGTCGAACTTTCTTTTTACAATTGATAGAGACTCTAGCAATGCATTCAGCAAATTTGACTTTTCTTGCTTCACTTGACCGAACATACTTGACAGATTCCCGTATTTTTTAAAGAGGTTGCTCAACTATTTCTAAACCTGCTTTTACTATCAAGTTTAGAATGTGTGCTCCACAACGCACATGAAAGAATTCTCCATCACACACCAACGGACCAGCAATCTTCAAATGACGCTTCAAAACATTCACCAAAACATCATTATAGGCTGCATTATCCATACTCAATGAGAAAATTTTCTTTTCAATTCCCCATTCTCTGAGTAAATCCATTACCCTTGTTGCCAAAGAGACACCATTATGTGGTGGAGGAATATGACGGAAATTCAATATCCATTTTTGGAGCACCCAATTTTCATCAATATAATGAGCCGTAAGTGCCAAGTAACCATCTGTAGTGGATGAACTCCATAGATCGAATGTCAAACATATTCTACTCTTCACATTCTCTAAGGCATGTTTAAGAGTTTCTTTTTCTCTCGAGTACATTCTCACAACATCTGCTTTGATTGTGTTTCTTGATACAGGTTTTACCTCTTCACATAAGAAGTTATGCAGATCTTGAATGCCCTCATGTTCCACAAATTCAAAAGGGTAATTGTGTTTTATAATAGCAACTGCAATTTTTTCACGATACATATGTTGATCCAAAGGAGCCCCAAAGCTTGTATTCTTCAACTCTCTCCACTTGCAAGATTCAAAATGCTTGAGCATATTAGATGTTCCAGAATTACCTTTTAATAAATATGTTTGTGCACACCATTTACACTTAATTTTTTTCCTTCCATCAGCAGTCACTGCTACAGTATCAAAACCATCCCAAGCAATTGATGTTTGCCTCCTAATTCGCTTGGTTGAACTTTCTCCGTTAGCCTCTCCACTTTCAGGTATAGAATCTGTTGATGAAACTCGCTCAACATTGTGCTCTTCTTCTCCTTCCATTTGAACAAGTACCTAATATTCATTGCACCAAAGAATAGAAAAAAAAATTCAGATCTCATTAAGTGCAAAATGACAGCAAAAAAATACTAGTTAGAGGAAAGGATTAAGATAACATTAAGCATTTAGAAGTCCAGAAATCCCAAGCTTGCAATTTATCATGCATTACTTACTCTAAAAACTAAATTTTGATCAGTTTGCCAGATTTCGATGCATGCAATCATATGTCATGTCTTCTAATTAATGTTAGACATAACAACTCTACCTAAATTTCCTAATGTCCTCATCACAGTAATGAATTCAACTAGGAATAAGGACCTGGGAATTAGTTGTCTGCTATAACATGAATCATTCTAGAGAAAAATATTGTACAGAATCTCATTCCAGGTATCAGTGACTCCAGGGAAGCTCTCGTTGAAGTATCCATTTTATCTTGTAGTGCCAATTGACAAGTCCCTTCCCAACTTAGTTGGGATTTCTGAACCACAAATTCTGTGGTGCCAGGCTTGCACTCTAATCCTCCACAAGGAATCGTTGGGAAAAAGTAATGGGTTTGCTTCAAAGCCAACCGAATCTCACTCGTTTTAGCATTACAACCAAAAGACCTACAACTCCTAGTCGTCACAGCAGCTAGCTACATGCAAATGAAATGCGATAACCCCAATAATTCAAGTTAATTAGCCAGCCCAAAAGCTTTGATTTAACAAATATTGATTGGAAACTCAACAACCTAGAACCAGAAACAGAGACAGACCCGTTCCCTCCTAATTATCAAACAATTTAAGCGCAGACGGAAAACAAAGACGAAGATATTAGCAAGAAAAGGATGAAGATTTACCCCCGATCACTTGCCCGCAAAATTCATCCTCACTCGATCTGGGATCCTGGGTTGGGTAAAATTTTAGGAGGATGCAGACAGAGAGGATGGATTTAGTTAAGTAGTGATTAGAACAGAGGGGAATGGGAGGCGATGGCGGTGGCCGTGAAGGAGGGAACGAAACCGGTGAAAACGAGGGAGCACGGGGACGGCATTTTCACACCCCAACGTTCAATTTTAGGATAGCTCCTTTTTTAGTCATTTGCTGTCCATTTCTTTTATTTGGTTTTTAAGTAAATGGATATATGTGGTTTTTGTGGATAATCCATATAAATCCATTTAATTTAATGGTTTTACTTTGATCATCCATTTAAAACCAATATTATAAATGGATAATCCAAATCCATTTAATTATGGTTTATATGGATGGATAAATGGATTTCAATCCAAATTGCCACCTCTAATCGTACCGAAAGATTGACAGCCATAATTTGGCTATAAATATATATATATATGTCCCAAATTACATCTTGTACATCGATTTTAACACCATATTTGAGGTCTATAAAATTTTATTTTACATTTACAAGTTGTTAAAAGTAAATTACATCCCGTGAAAAATGAAGCAAAATTGGTCCAAATGATTTTTTTGACAACCGTTTGAACCCCCTGATCCTTCACAGTTCTGTAATTTTAGATTTTTGTCCCTTAGAAAATTGAAAATTTTTAAAAATATTCCCTATAAGTTTAGATATTTGCCCATGCAAAAATTAAAAATATCTTATATCACATACTTGAATGCAAATATATTAAGATTTGCATTGTCAAAGTAAACTTTCTAGCTTCGTTTGTGATAGGGAATTAGGGATGACAAAACCACGAGGGGGCGGCGGATATGGATTCAAGTTCAGAGGATGGCCCCCTAACATGACCAAATAGTCAATTTTTGGATACCCTCTAGACAAAAAATTTTGTGTAAAGCAAGCAAGTCACATTTAAGTGGTTTGCTTCAAAAAATCCAGACGGGTGTGTTGTGTACCCGTTTGATCCAGTGGTGATTCAGTCCCCTCCGGATTATCCCTGAACCTCCTTAGGTCCGCCCCTTCCCCCTTCGTGTAGAATAAATTAGGTTATACAACTGTTGTCGTCTCCGAAAAAAAAAGTCAGTTAATTAGCAGAGGCAGCTCAATCCTAAACTATGTCGTAATGTTACTCTTTAATTCTTAGACAATTTGCAAAATTTAAGAAGTGACAAATTAGAACAATCTTACTGTATAATCTGATATACTGAATGCAACGAGAAAGTATTTTGTCAAATTTAACTAGGGATGTAAATAAGTTTAATTAAGTCGAGCATTCTAGTGTTTAAATTTATTTGATTATTGTAACAAATTGAAAATTTTGTACAAACTTAGTTTATTTATTTACTGAATCAAGTTTGACCGAATCTTTTATCAAGTTTGAATGATTATCAAATATAAAATGTTGTTCATCCTTGGTTTAATTAGTTAGTGAATTAAATTTGAATGAATTCTTACCAAATTAAGTTCGATTCGAATATCAAATAGTTTGGTTTATCTTTCAGTCTTACTTTATACTTATGTATATCTCCAATTTGAGGAGTAGAATGAAATTTTGTAAGTATTACTGGCATTATTTCATGACATGATAAAAAATTTCACGAACATAAGGTAGTTTTCTTAAGAAGTTTTTTTTCTTTTAATTTGCTGCACTTAGGACAGCAGATAAGAACACAAAAAAAAAAAAAAAAGGTGACCCACTATTATAACCATTAATATTACAACTCACCCCTGAATTGCAACATTTTTCAAAAAAAAAAAATGTGTTTAAAGAATAGATGAACGCATTTCGGAATGAATAAGCTGGTGTTTCTTATGTCCAACGGAAAAAGTCTCGGGTTCATGGGTTAACCCAAGTAACTTTCGAACTGAAACCATGGGATCAAAATAATTATACTTATAATCCATGGACCCAAAGTTATATTTCACTCCTTTCCACTTCAATTCAATGTGGGACGGATCCTCACATTCATCCCCACTTAAGAATTTTGCATCTTCGCAAAATCGGATCATAATCCAAACTATACACTTAATCATGCATAGAATCTATAGGTGGCTCGTACAGAGTTTAGAGATGACCCTTGGTCAATGTGAAATTTTTTTAGAGATAGCCCCCATTGGACGTTGTACTCAACCCTTATAGCACTTAACTCCTTACACTCCATTGCATGGTCGAACCTATAACTGTACTGGTCCCAACTCATCCGATGCAGAGATGCATGGACCGGTTCAAGTAACTTTTTAATTGAAATCATGGATTCAAAATTGTTAATCCAAATTATTTTTTAATAGTCCATAGCCCCAAGATTATATTTCATTATTTTTCATTTCAAATTTTTGATAGGCTGAAGGTTATTTAGAACTCGTATGAGTCACCTCTAAACTTTGAGTACGATTAAGTGAACAGTTTGGATTGTGACGAGTTTTGCGCGAAAGTAACGTCCTT